TTTAAGGTAGCTATCAGGTTGTGGGTGTGTGGCAAGGGGTGAAGTTCGGGAGCGGTTTGAGCATCGTCTCTAATAATCACTACTTGGGCAACAAGTATGTACTCTTAAGAGACCATATGCTAGTGAGATGTTCATGGGCTGTTGGATGTGAGATACGTTTCACGTCCATCATACACACGAATTCATAATTGACTAATCTTGGCGTTTTGGGACCTAGTTTAAGCGCTGTTCAATCTTCAGTAGTAAGGACCGAAGGTCTATCGATTTATATTAATCCCTTCAGTTTGTAGCACTGTGGAGGATCAGTCTGGTTCTAAATATATCGATATTATGTGTTTTGGTAGGGAATTCCAGTAATTCACAAATCGGTGCAAGAAACAAAACTCCAGACGTCAACGATATGACCTCGGTTTTTAAAATTTCTTAGGATGTCCTCTCAAATGATCAGTCCTAGACGGAAGGGAAAGATAAGAAATAATAATATCAAGGTCACCGTTCGTTATACAATAAGCCAATATTTGATCACCTCGTAATCTACGGTAAGATAATGGGAATAAGTTGTTGTATCAGTCTGTCTTGATCAGATAGACCAGAGAGATCTACCGTTTCTATCCTTCGTCATTGGACTCGTTCTAGCATATCCGCCTCGTACTTGAAACAAGGACCCGTTGCTCGAATTCCATATTCCAAGTGCGGTCTCACGAAAGTCGGGTATTATAATCTCAACATTGTTTAGTCCAAATACTGAAATTTTATTTATTTATTTTTCAACACATAAATGTTGGTACAAAGAAGCAACAAATACGTGTGCGCCATATGTCACTTGATTTGTGAGTAGGCTGTGATATTGCACGGGTGTCCAGACCGAAGCAGGTGGTGTTTTTAGGGTGCCACACCCGAAGCGTTTGACATCGATGTCTAATGCCCTTCTACATAATTTATAGCAGCCATTCGAATAATCTCTCCATTAGTTTGACAGCTACACTGGTTAGACTAACGGGTCGATAGTTATTGAGTCTCTGTTGCCCGCTCTATACATCAGACTAATCATTGGGTCTTTCCAGTCTCTTGGCAGTCTGGCCTGCCTCGGGCATATTAAACAGCAAATTACCTACAATAATATTCGATGAGATTAAATTCTCATCAGCCACGCCAGGGTGGAGTTCTGTCTTACTATCAGACTTTGGTAGTGTGTTTATGACCCAGAATGGGAGTTCATCAATCACTTGCCAACCAAGTGGTTGTATCTTATAGCTTTTTGCTTTCATTCCATCATCTTTCTTCGCACAGGTCAAAGATAATATGCTCATAGCCTCCTGGATTAGTAATGTTTTGTTCATACAGCAAAATATACAAAGTCAACGCGAGTTGGGCTTCGAGCATCTTTTGAATGCGGTGGGACTTAAGCGGGTACACATCTTATGGAACCACTTATTACATTCATCGCATTGCATTCCTTCATCCATGAGGAATAAACAATTCGGCTGTCCACATATAGCGTGACGTCGAGTTGAGGTTAACTATGAACACCGCTACAGAGAAACACATTCCAAGTAGATCAGAAGGGGCAGGTTGAATGTAACCAAATAAATCCATAAAATCCCCGAGAAGCCAAATATCAGAACACAGTTAATGGACCAAATAGAGATATATTCTCTGGCGATCTCGTGGTATCGAAAAGATACCGAGATCGTGCCAGAATACAAGCTTGGTTACAGAACGTAACCGAATTCGCGCGAAGTCACAATCAAAGTGTGTGTATAAGAATGGAAGCACAAAATAGCTGTCATTAGAACAGTCAAACAAAAGCACATTAAAATAAACACTGGTACAGTTGATTATAGTAATAATTGTTTTTATTAAACCAGTCGTGTTCTCGTGATAAATGTGAGTCACTACAGGAGCCCCCCGCTAGAAAGGGTTTACACTGTCGATAAATAGCGGCTTAAATCGTGGGACTGATCGGCTGACGAGCGATTGTAGGACAGAAAGAATGGCGAAACAGGAAAGCGATCGTTGATCGTGGAGTTGCCAACGAAGGTCTTTTTCGGAGAAAGGTACCAGGAGCGATGTGTTGTATTTGTTGCTTGAGTTCGCATACTACACGAGAGTGGTTTGTATCCAGAATCTGAAGATTGCGTTCGTAGGGAATACGGACCAGAAACGCTGCAGACGTAGGACGAAACCACGTTGAGCCAAAAGACCAGAAGCGACCATAACGACCAAGTTCTAGACCAAGCATATGCCAAGCATTCGAAACCAATATATCGACTGAGTACGTTGACAAGAGCGTGGGTGGCCAATCCAGCTTTCGCCAAAGTTGACTGAAGTCGACGGGACCAAACGGAGATGGTCGAAGGCGTGGGCTCAGGAAACAAAAAGAAAATCAAAAAAAAGAAGAGTGTAGCATACGTGTAGTATAGGAATAATCCTACACCGTATCGGTTGTTGACTGTGCGACTATTCGCGGAAGCGTACGGGTAATCGTACTCGGCGACCGGAACGTGAGACGGTAGTCTCGTTCGCGTCGCGTGAGCCTGCAATCTCATCCGAGGTCAGAGGCGGCGTGATCTGCTGATCTGGACGTGAGACTGTCGTCTCGTCCGTAGATGGTGCAGATGACGTGTGCTGTTGACCGGGACGTGAGAATGAGGTTTCAGATGCATCTGGCGTGTGACCTGAAGAACATTTAAGGATTCCGCTTGTAGGTTTGATAGGTCTAGCATTGAAGCTCAGGGCATCAGATAAAGCACTGTCATCGACGTGTGCTGGTTTGAGACGAGCGGTGCTTACGATCTCGACGCGGCCATGTCGATCAACCTTGAAGGTCTTTTCGTGACGAGCGATCTCGTGAAAAGGGCTTTCGTAAGGTTGTTGCCAAGGTTTTCGTACCGAATCTACTCGTATGAAAACATGTGAACAGGTAGATAACTCTCGAGTGAGAGCGACCTGTCGATGTTGTATTCGAGTTGACACCGGAGACGGCGTTCGCATAAATGCAGACAGTCGATGGACGTAGTCTGATTTACCGAAATTAGGTCTGCTCCGTGGTGTGAAGAATTCTCCGGGCAGACGCAATGTCGTGCCGTATACCAGCCCAGCGGCGGAACATTGGACATCTGCCTTCAAGCTCGTTCAAATACCTAAGAGGACGAGCGATAAGGTTTCGTGCCAGTTGTCGTTTTCGTGTGCTCGTAGAGCACTTTTAAGTTGGCAATGAAACCGTTCAACTTAACCATTTGATGCTGGGAGGTAGACGTTAATGCGTATGCGAAAGCATTCCGCACCAAATAGCCGGGTCAGTGAGGAGAATAGTTAATAGGGGAAAATTTCTCGAATAAAACGTGGAATTCATCGTCACGCAAATAAAAAGTGACAAGGATTCGGTACACATACATGTGAGTCTATTATATTAATACTATTCTAACGTTATTCGTCATGTCGAGTATATTATATATTCAAAAATATGAAAATATACGACAGACGTGGATAGATAAATCATTGACTCACCGAATTGGCTTCTTTGGAAGATTTGACCAGAGGTTGGGGCGTGTTCCAAAATTCGACTCACCAATTGTAGCGTGGCGTCGAGTTGAGGTTAACTATGAACACCGCTACAGAGAAACACGTTCCAAGTAGATCAGAAGGCGTAGGTTGAACGTAACCAAATAAAGTCACAATCAAAGTGTGTGTATAAGAATGGAAGTTTCGTGCCTTAAGGTAACCCTCGTGCTATTGATAGAAGAAACCAGAGAAGTAGTGAACAGGTCTTTATTTCGATCTTAGCGCAGTCGCAGTGGAGCGTGGGATTATCTGTTCAGACAAACAAAGGCTCTCAACATTCAATATAAGATAATAGGGAATATAACGCTTATGAAAAATAAGGAAGTCAATGAATACTTGAACAATACTGTTTTGGCATAAGCTTGGTTGTTTGGGGTCAATTCTTAACCAACCAACCTGAGCTGTTACAGAAGCACAAAATAGCTGTCATTAGCACAGTCAAACAAAAGCACATTAAAATAAACACTGGTACAGTTGATTATAATAATAATTGTTTTTATTAAACCAGTCGTGTTCTCGTGATAAATGTGGGTCACTAAACAAACTTATAAGTACTGCCGACTACTGTAATCAGACTAATGTTTAAAACACATTCTGAACGCAAGTGTCAGAGTCCATGAGAAAGAAAGTACTACAAGACAAAGTTTAGCAAAATTTCAAACCTTAACGGAAATACTTTAATTTAAAGTAGACCAAGAGTGCTTTTTAATGCGACAAGTACACAAAAGCAAAGATAATCACAACAAGTACAAAATCACTGACTTTTTTTAAATCCATGTTTCAGGTGATCCTTTAGTCGTAATATGGTGTGTGGCATAGCTGCTATCACACGGCAGCTTTGTTCGTGTGTTTTTAAGTTCATGGTAGTTTTTGAGTATCCGTTTAAGGTGTAGATCTAGTTTCTGCTTAACCTTGACTTAATATAAGCTAAAACACGAAAATGAAGTTCCTAATACTTTGATTTGTTTGAGTGGATCATTAGATTACGGTGTTGTATCAGGTTTATACCAATGATTAGCGAAAAAACGTTTGCCGTAAAGAAAATCTGGTGAATTGGTTTGTGGAAACCCACGACAAGTTGAACATATATCTTATCGAAGGTGACGGTCAGGTTTCCGTCTACCGTCTATAAGATGAAGACTTATTCGTGTAAACCGTCCCTAGTATTCGTGGGACGAACGTTTATTCCTGCTCGTGTTGACGAGATGACAGTCTATCGTCATCACATCAGTTATGTATGATAGATGGCCACTTTTGCCGGTTACGGTTGTCGTTGATGCATGAAACAGGGAAGTTTTCTGAAAAGTTTATGGTGGCAGAATTTTTAAGGTAGAAAAAATCCATGAGATATTACTAAATACCTAAGACCTTACCAAAATAACAAGAAGCAAGAGCGAACAAATCAATCAGTTTATGCAAGCTTGTGACAAATATATTGGCTATTAGATATAGTGGACAAAATTTTTCACAAAGAGACCTTCATTAAATTGGCGCCTATTCTGTAAGCAAGGTCGACAATAACTCGAAATATTGAGGTTAGTGTTCAGTTATTTGTTTGATGTAGAAAACCTGTTTATACGTTTGTCTGATGTGTTCGCATGGAAGAAAATATATGAGAGGTTCATATTAGTGCCTGTCGTCCTGAACACGTACTCAAGTTCTAATTTGTCAATATATGTAAGTTGTGATTACAAGGAAGTAGGTTGATAGATAAAAATTCACTTCAAATCAAGGATAAAAAACTGGGCTCAGATAAATTTCAGTCACATTCACAAAGTCCTTCAGTGCGATTATCTTAGTGTAGACAGTTTGCCTCGATTGAGAGTTCGAAATCAAACAAAATACAACATGCAGGGATAACAAATTTAGTTACAACGTACAAATATCACTATCAATAAGTGAAATTAATCTACTGAGCCGTGTGCCTTCTTGTTTTTAGCATTTCTCAGCCTGGGTATATATTGCTTGCTTTAGGACCCCTTGAATAATAACATTCCAGCACAAATGCTCTCGTAAATGCAATGTCTAATAGGATATGTGTAATAATGGCACATTTTTGTGTGATCTATTTGGTTTTGCCGTCTAAACGTTTCGGTGAGGTGTAGATGAAGTCGAGTTTTAGTCGGATTATATCTGGGTTTATTAGAAGAGTGGTTTTTGACCGTCTTTTGGGACGGCTGCCTATAGCCGTTTTCTAAACGAACGATTTACAGATTACTCAGAGATTGAGTCTTATGAATGAACTTGTCAATCACTCGTTGATTGCTTGTTCATATAATCCATCACCTACGAATTGTAATTAATATAGTGTATATGCTTAGTAGCTCTCTGCTTTTATATGACAGTTTGCTAACAAATAGTCACCAACCAGAGTTGTAAGCAGAGACTTAATTATTACATTATTCATCACTCCGCCTTGCGTTTCACAGCTATACTAATGCAAATGTAACTCGCTTAGTTCTAATTTATTGCAGTTGTGATATCATTACTGTCTTATATTGTGCCGGTCTACAAAACATTCTTTACTCATCCCAGAAAAAATCCAATGTCAAGGCGTTAAATGAGTCAGAATGTTTGGTTGTTAATCCGTATCCCTCACTTAAATTGCAGCCTTTCATCTAGGTGTACTTTAACAGGATGGTGGTGTTTTCTTTTTGTCGTTTTCCAAGCCTGTATTTTATGTTGTTTATTCTTTTTTAGAACATATGACTCTAGATGAACGCTTCCAAAAACTTGGAACCCTTCTCAAAGGTTTCAAAATCACTGATTCATCATTGTTGTCTTATGGTACTGCCGGGTTTCGTCTTCCCGCTGATAAACTAGGCGGTGTAGCGATTCGATTAGGAATATTGGCATGCATCAGATCATTAAACTTGGTACTGATGTAATTTTAAACTAATCTGTTTAGCAATGTAGGGCAGTGGGTATAATGATAACTGCTTCTCACAACCCACCATGCGACAACGGAATGAAGCTAGTTGATCCTCATGGGGGTATGTTGGATGCTGAATGGGAACCAGTTGTAGTCAGTTTTATGAGTTGTAGCGATGAATCTGTCTCTAAATGGCTATCAGAACATTGCTGCAATTTCCAAGGTATGATCTGTTTTGTAGGTTAGCTTTGCTGTTTAAAATCTAGCTTCTCATCGTAAAAACCTGTTTTATGTAATCTCTTTATTCACAAATGTAGTGTAAAGCAAACTAGAGATTGTAACACATTTGTATTTTTACGGGCTACTTGTTGGTTAGGAGGAATTATTAGTGTCACAATTAATATTTAGTAAACTACTGATAATTGTTGTAATTCAGTGAATAAATTCGAGGCCTTACGTTTTTCTGTAAGTCCTATTTATTGTGAGCTGGAGATTATAATTATCTTGTCAATCTGTCCTCGCGATTCCTCATCTTTCCTCTTGGATCACACGGTTCATGACTTCATAAACGAATAGCGTTGGTTCAGCCCTTCACCCTCAGTTTCGTTCAGAGTATTTGTATCCTAACCAACTATCATTTATGTAAAAAATGTGATGAAACCTAAGATAAGACTTGTTACCGTTCTGGCTTCACAAAAGACCACTAAGTCAGTCAGTCAGCTACAACTTAGGACCAGGCACATATATGCATCGGTCCAAGTTGCTACACCTCATTAGCACAACAAGATGAACACAAAATTCATAGAAGTAGTTACTTCAGTGGTAGTAATATATAAAAGAAAGATTCATTATAAGGATATAATACAGGGAGAAAGAACTAGTTGGTAGAAAGAAAAAATATAAAGCAATTTTAATCTCACGGTTTAAGGGAAGACAGAGAGTGTATACACCTACGCCATTGTGATCGATTCTGAGCCATGTCACCCAGAGTCTCTAACGATTGGTTATGATAATCACGCGGACCCAAACGAAGTAGTTTGCATCTACCAACATGGTTTAGATCAGAAGTTAGTGACTTCAAGGACTGATGCCACGTTTTGGTTTGGTCGTTCCTAGCTTTCTTCCAACCATCCCCAACACTAGTCAGCTTTGCGCGTCGTGGTAATTGGTGTGCAGGCATACGTACCACAACCCAAACATCCCAGTCGATGTAGTAGCTTACGAGTATCCTCCACTCTTAATGGCCATGTTTCGCAGTCGTAAAGTAGAACAGAACGAACCACTGCGCAGTATACTCGTCCCTTAATTGATAGACAGATATCTCGCCTTTTCCATAGGTGATGTAAGTTGACAGAAACCAAACGAGCTTTTTGAGTCCGTGCAGAGATTTCGTCAGCCACCAACCCATTGTTAGTGATCAAACTTTCAATATGCGTGAAGTTGTCGATGCGTTCAACTACTTCACTCCCACTTTAGTTTGATTACCTTAATACTTCAATAAAATGAACCATTTGAAAAGATTTGTCAATCGTGGGACCAACTGGTACTACTTACGTAATATTAGTCCAATTTTCACATTTAAATAGTGGCTATTTTTCTGTAGTATTCTCAAGCAAATGAAAGTAAATCTTTTCCAAAAAGCTTGTTCTGTTCCGCTCTTATCAAGTTAATGCCTAGTTTGCTGATAAAGTTTGATGTTCCTTCATGAACTTTTTCATTATCCATTCCATCGTAAGTGCGTGTGCGCGACTCAGGATAAAAATTTATTACTTAAATTCACAGATATCCAAGTAAGTGCTGTGAGGCTTTTTGTACTTAAAACCAGCGTTCGAAAGATAATTGACTAGTCCTACATAGTATTAAACTCGCATATCGGGTTTCTCTTTTGTTTGCCGCCAAAATACTACCCTTATGTGCTTCCACAGTGAGTTCATATACAGACTGATTACTTGGTTATTCCTAGTGATTTAGTATATTTGCATATTTAAAATAATATTTTTATCTACCTCTTTTCCAAATATATGAGTATTCCATATGCGACATAATTTTTTTAGCGTTTCATCCTGTCTTTCAGATGATCAACTACCCCATGTTGTTTTGGGCTTCGACACTCGTGAAAGTTCTCCAGCTTTAGCAAATGAAGTTAATCAAGGTGTTAGTGTTATGCATGGCATCTGCCATGAACTTGGACTAGTGACCACTCCGCAACTTCACTATTTTGTTCAATATATTGTAAGTTATTGGGATTGGCCAACTCGTTTTTAAAGACGATTTAAAAATTTCCACAAAATCGTTTTTTTGGTTTAGGCGTTCTTTAGAGTCGTACATTTCTACTTTCTTTATTATTAGAATAAATTACCAGTTTATTACACAGAATATGTCATTGTTAAGTCACTAGTGTAGTGTTTGAGAATAGAATTTGAACTATTAAGAATAATGAAGTTGCTTGCCTTGACTATCGCATACTACCGACGTTGGGTGACTTTTAAAATGGCTCAGTGATAACACAAACAGTTTTAATTGTTCATTTATGGTTGCAAGTGTAATAAAACGTTGATATTTACAGGACTTTTGTATAACTTATTAAGCCATCAAGGTTTGTGTATGTATTATCTTGTACATTACTAATAACGTGATCTTTTTGCAAGCTAACTTAGAAAGGAAAAAAATGAACCGACAGTTATTGGTTTCCTTTGTCAAAACAAGTTTAATCAAAATGAATGAATACTTCGCATATGTTTATTTTCATACAAAATCATTCTACTCCATAATGGCGTTATTGACTTGATCACCACTCAGAAATAGTCTTAAATACTCAGTGAAAAAATCTACAAAACGGTTGATTCGGTAGTATATTATAATTAAACTAGTTACCTGATGCAATGTCGTGTAAAGTGATAAAATCAGTAGACGTGTAAAGCAAAATTAATAGTGATAGCTGACTATTTTTATGATCGACATAAAGATAAAGAAACTAGAGTTAGTCAGTCAGTTAGTCAGCTACAACTTAGGACCAGGCACATATATGCATCGGTCCAAGTTGCTACATCTCATTAGCACAACAAGATGAACACGAAATTCATAGAAGTAGTTACTTCAGTGGTAGTAATATATAAAAGAAAGATTCTTTATAAGGATATAATACAGGGAGAAAGAACTAGTTGGTAGAAAGAAAAAATATAAAGCAATTTTAATCTCACGGTTTAAGGGAAGACAGAGAGTGTATACACCTACGCCATTGTGATCGATTCTGAGCCATGTCACCCAGAGTCTCTAACGATTGGTTATGATAATCACGCGGACCCAAACGAAGTAGTTTGCATCTACCAACATGGTTTAGATCAGAAGTTAGTGATTTCAAGGACAGAAACTGGAAGATAATAATTGCCATTGATTAGCTAAACAAATGGGATGGATAAGTTTGGAATTTTAGTAAAATATAATATTCAATGTGTTGCACTCAGATAAGAAGTTCAAACTCAAGCGAGTTATACTTTCAAGTCTGTTGACAGAATTATACGCTTTTCATGATACTCAGGCCAGGCAATACCTGATATCTATCTTCCCCTATTAGGAAATCTGAAGGAGGTCAGATAATCAATCAGAGCGTACTCAAGATTATTAATTAATTGATTGCTCACTCTCTGTGATGATTTGGAGTCTGTAAGCTTCAGAATGCTTTGATATGAAAATGAGCGACACGGTTTATGACGGTGCACATTCAAATTCTCGCATTCAGTCTATGCAATTAGAAACTTGCATTAAAAAAAAACAAATTTAATCTCATGAAAGTTGATATCGTTAACCGACTTGGAAAAATAAAAAGTAGCACAAAGGCCATACATTTTGTTATGTGATCGTTAGAGTTTGTAAAAGTTATATGAGACATATGACAAATGAATAATGTAGAGTCTTTTTTTCTTCCTTTGCGCTATATTCCCCGTTTTTGTGGTGTTTTTAGTGAAAGCTTGTATTTTCATGTGAAATTTTCAGTTAAATGGACCGAAGCTTTAAACTAGACATAAGATTAGTTAATATTTTAAATTAGATAGGTTTCGATGTTATTTCTACGTTATATCACACCGTACTATTTTCCTATTCTTTATGAAATTACAGAATTCAATTGGTAGCCCATGTTCCAACCAACTTGTTGATTTAGAAACTATTTACGTTCATCATTTTGCTGAACGTTTCACCACCGCGTTAGAAAATTTACAAAGTTGTACTGAATCAATACATTTAAATATAGATTGTGCACATGGTGTTGGTTCTAAAGTTTTAGAACGTTTTCGTGCATATTTTTCATCTGTCAAAGGCCCACGTAGATTAATATTACACTTATATAATACAGAGACAGAGAAAAAAGAGTTACTTAATCAAAATTGTGGAGCTGATTTTGTTAAAGTAAGCTATTTGTATGTTCTTTTTTGTTTTTACGAACAATATTTAGCAAAAACCACATCTGCATATTGTGTAACAAACCACATTAAATCAGGGGTTAAATAAAGTGAAAATTCGATTTTCCACCTCACAATATGCATGATTTAGATGTCGAAAAATAGATTCATTTTGGCCACAATTTGATGGGAGTCTCATTTGATTAAAAGCCAGATGTTTTGGCTTTTAACTGTGTCCACATAGCAATATACAGAAACGGTGTAAACCAAGTAGGAAACTAGTGTCTCCATAAGTGAGTACATTTAGTATTATTCTATCTAGCGAATCCCCTCTCTAAAAACTATCCTTATGTGATAATTTAATCTGTAGAACTTCTCGATATTTCATTTGTTTGGGCTATAATTTTGAACTCTTATAAATACCAGGCCGTTGGTCACACTTCCATCAAAGCTAATCATACTTATTGTCATCTGAATACATAAACACTAAGTTAAAATTTCGGAAAGTTTAATTTGAAGGCTCTGTAGAATTTCTTTCAGTTACTCTACAAACATATTTGGTTTTACGTTCACACTAATTGTTTGTAGGTCAACACGTATAATGGCTACACACGCGTATATACATCTTCTTGCTACTTAGAGCTAGAGGAATCTAATTAGTTAAAGTATTTCGGTTGTATTCGATAATGAAATAAAAACAATCGGTAACTGGACTTGTTTTATTCCTTACGATTTAATTGTTAATTAAATGTTTTCTCAACATTTGAATAGTCTCCATATAAAATGCTGAGTTTTTAACTTGTAAATTGACACGTATCTCAATATACCAACTGTCAGTCATATGTGTATTTTAGTCGAACTGAATTTCATATTCAAAACCTTGTATTTACATGTGCAGTATGAAACTAGTCGTTTTTTTAATTTTATTGAAAAGTGTAGAAATAATGAGAAGTCAATTAATATCTTTCTAATTGCCCGACCGTTGTTGCTACCTTGACGTGGTGGTCGGGCTTGCCTATCGTGATGAAGCAACCGAGCTATACTGGCTGGAACAACCGTTCCTCAAGGTCCTACCATGTCAGACAGGTCGGTTGAAGAGCGGTAAGACTAAAAGCAACAAACCCAAGGTCCGAAGGCGAAGTCATACTGCTGACTGTACAGAGGTGTGACAGCAGTAAGGTGTTTCCTTCAGACAACCAGCATGACAGCGATGCTGCCTTCCCACAAGGAGGGGTAGGGTTAGAAAAGGTCGACCCTAAAAATGCACACCTCACCTTACCTCACGGATTTCCGTCTCCGGCGGTAAGGCCATTTGAAGAACGGAGCTAACACGTCAAAAACCTCCCACGAAAAGGCCGTGCGCGACCGGCCTCAAGCAGTTGTCTCTTGGGCACTGCGGCTACGCTCTCAGGTCACTGAGACCACCTCTAATCCAATTTCCTTTTCAGGTACCTCCAGAAGAACCCTTCCACGGTGTGGGCAACCGGGAAGTGATAACCGCCCTCATACCTCTAACAGCACTCAAGACCACTGTATTCATAATCAACCTTCCTCTTCAATTCCTATTATTCCTCCTACATCGACTTTTCACTCTAAACTTCCTCTTTCGGCTTCCTCCTCAAGTGTCACCATAGCCAACGATTCTAGTGTTCAAAACCCTGTCCCAGGTCTACTGAAACCTCGCTCCAAACTACACATTGGAGCCTTCAACGTACGCACCCTATGTCAAATCGGTCAGCAGGCTTCATTGGCTAAAACCCTAGAATCTCGTACCATTGATGTATGCTGTGTCTCCGAAACACGCACACAGGATTCCAGTGTGGTGATTCACTTGACCTCACCTCGGCAAAACGGAGAGCCAACGAGATACACACTCTGTGTATCTGGTGACCCGATGGTCAGTTCTCGTGGACTGGCAGGTGTAGGCATAGCACTAAGCATGAGGGCGGAACAAGCACTGTTAGAGTGGATCCCCGTCAACAGTCGTCTATGTACTGTTCGGTTAAACGGCTCCGTAAGAACTCGGAAGGATAGGGATACACGTCGTTGCCTTTTCGTCGTTTCTGCCTACGCTCCCACTGACTGCAGCTCAGATGAAGTGAAAGATGAATTTTACAGAAAGCTTTCTGAAAAAGTACTCATAGGGGGTGACTTTAATGCTCAGATAGGTAGCTTAAACCAAACAGAAAGGCATTTAGGTGGATATTTTAGCATTCCGGCACAGCGAACAGATAATGGTGACCGTCTGCTGCAACTGTGCTCAGACAATCGCTTATTTTTAGCAAACACAAATTTTAAGCATAAGGAGAGACATCGTCTAACATGGCGACCCCCTACACCAAACCAACGATGGACTCAAATAGACCATATTGCCATCAGTCATCGTTGGAGAGGGTCGGTAGAAGATTGTCGCTCATTCTGGAGTACCTGCTTGGACTCCGACCACGCCCTAATACGGGCACGCATCTGCTTGCACCTCACTGGACGCAAAAAGCCACAGTAAAAAGACCCATTCGAACCGAACTGAGTAGCGAGGAAACCAAAAGTAGGTTCCAGGAACAACTGAGGTCACGATTAGTTAGTTCTGAAAACGAGGCTGACCCAGATGTTGCTTGGAAAGCCATACAAACAGCTGTGGAAACAGCAATGACATCTATCAGTGATTTAAACCACACGGCTACAAAGAACCAGTGGATTTCTTCAAAGTCTATCACACTGATGGATTCTCGCAAACTCGTCCCATCAGGTTCCGAACATGATGAAGAGCGACAACAAATCAGATCTAGGTTAAGAAAAAGTCTAAGAAACGACCGTGAGCAGTGGTGGGCAATGAAAGCAAAAGAGATGTAAAAGGCGGCGACTATAGGCAACACAAGACAGCTTTACAGACTAATAAAAGAAACTGGAATTAATAAGTCAAGTGTAAGTGAGATTATATCGGAAAAAGACGATACTCTCATCTGCTCCCAGTCCAGACGTTTAGAACGATGGGCGGAACATTTCAGAGAGCAGTTCAACTGGCCTTCAGCTACTCTACAACTACCCACCATTCCCAGACAGTGTGAATGGAACATTGAAGTAGGTCCTCCAACTCTAGCAGAAGTTCAAACGGCTATAGTTAATCTGAAACGAGGAAGGGCAGCTGGTCCATATGGACTGGCTCCAGAGGTCTTTAAGGATGGTGGTCTAATTTTAGCGATTAGGTTGACTAATATTTTAGCTAGGATCTGGGAGTTAGACGTTATCCCATCTAACTGGTCACAATCACTTATCGTCCCAATATATAAGAAAGGGTCAAAATCATCCTGTGACAACCACAGAGGGATTAGTTCAACTAATATAGTATCTAAAATACTAGCTTCGATAATTATCAAACGCCTAACTAAGACTCGTGAACTGCAAACACGAGAGAATCAAGCTGGCTTCAGACCTGGTCGTGGCTGCATCGACCACATATTCACCATTCGTCAGATTCTAGAACACAGGCATACTTACCGGCGTCCGACAATGGTGGTCTTTCTCGACTTAAAAGCAGCATTTGACTCGGTAGACCGCGAGATTCTGTGGCAGTGTCTGTCATTGAAAGGCGTACCACAGAAGTACATAAACCTTGTGAAGGCTCTTTACTCGAACACTACTAGTCAAGTCAGAGCTTATGGCGAACTGTCATCTGGTTTTGCAACCTCAAGTGGTGTCCGTCAAGGCTGTCCACTTTCCCCATTTTTGTTTAACTTCATCATAGATCTACTGATGGAAATAACTTTCTCGTCGACTGAATTCTCGGGTATTGATCTCCATCCAGGAGGTCCACTTATCGACTTAGAATACGCAGATGACATAGTCCTGTTTGGTGAGGACGCTGATAAAATGCAGAGTCTTTTGGTAGCACTAAGCAACAATGCCAGAATGTTTGGAATGCGCTTCTCTCCCTCTAAATGCAAGTTGTTGCTTCAGGACTGGTCTGCGTTAACACCTGAACTAAGGATAGAGAGTGAAGTAGTCGAACGCGTTGAAAACTTCACTTATATTGGAAGTCTGATCAGCCCTAATGGGTTGATGTCTGACGATATCTCAGCACGGATTCGAAAAGCTCGTTTGGCTTTTGCCAACTTACGTCACCTGTGGCGAAGGCGAGATATCCGTCTATCAATAAAAGGACGGGTATATTGCGCGGCAGTCCGTTCTGTTTTACTTTACGGCAGCGAAACATGGCCATTAAGGGTAGAAGACACTCGTAAGCTACTAGTATTTGACCACAGATGCCTTAGAAATACTGCTCACACCTGTTGGGATCATCGGGTAAGTAATAGTGAGGTTAGACGCAGGGTATTAGGGAATGATGGTAAATCAGTTGATGAGATTATGAATCTTCATCGACTGAGATGGTTGGGCCACGTGTTACGTATGCCTGAACACCGATTACCACGACGTGCAATACTATGCGGTATTGGAGATGGTTGGAAGAAAGTTAGGGGCGGCCAAACCAAAACGTGGCATCAGTGTTTGAAGACACTAACTTCTAGTCTGAGCCATGTTGGTAGATGCAGACTACTTGGTTGGGGTCCGCGTGACTGTCGTAACCAATGGTTGGAGACTCTTGGTGACATGGCTCAGAATCGTTCACAGTGGCGTCGGTGTATACACTCCCTGTCTTCCCTTAAACTAAGAGATTAAAATCACTTCATATCTTTCTTTCTACGAACCAATTCTTTCTTCTTGTACTATATCTCTATATGTAATCTTTCTCTTACATATTACTACCTTTGACCTAACCACTGCTATGAATCCGGTGTTCATCTTGTTGTGCTGATGCGGTATGGCAACCTGGACCGATGCACATATGTGCCTGGTCCTACGTTGTAGCTGACTGACTGACTGATCTTTCTAATTGAGGATGAGTTGATAGTTTTTTACTTCTAAATATTTATTACTATTGTGTTTAATGGTGAAGTGTGTTGAGGCATATGTTAAATATATATAATTTCTCGTGTTACCAATAGCCGTATTTCTTTATATGTGTATTTATAATCTCGTGATATTGAGTGATACTCGCTTAAATCTCTCAGGAAGCATAAATTCCCTCAACATTATAAATCTGTCTTGCTGATGAGACTATCAAATGACATAAAATCTATATTCATAGCTACTGGTCGATTACTTTTCATTCACCTAACATATTTTTCTGTGTTTACAAGCCTAACTTTTCCAGATATTAAGTTCTTTGAATTTTTACTGATATATACGAAATGTTAATAAATTGTTTTTGCTCTTCACTTCACTGAAGTTGTGAACAGCAACCGTTCGTATTTTTAAATAGCTGTTTTACCTTTTTTCTTAGTTATATCTGTGCTGCGTTCTCCTATTTGTTTAACAGATAACACTAAATGCACCAAAGTTAACCCCACCGAATGAACAGTCTATCATGTATCCAGATCGATGGGCAACAATTGATGGAGATGCTGATAGATTAATCTATTTTCGACCAATTTTTACACATTGTTCATCATCTTCAGATAATAGGTTAAATAATGACATGAAAGAATTACATCTAACTGGGGCTGTAGCTCAACAAGTTGAACTTCTGGATGGTGATCGTATATCATGTCTTTTTGCTCATTTTCTTGTTAAAGTTCTCAAGTCAGTATCTTCCGATCGTAATTTAACTATCGGAGTCATACAGACAGCTTATGCAAATTCTGCGTCTACACGTTATTTAACTGAACATCTTCATGTATCAGTAGTTTGTGTTCCAACTGGAGTAAAACATTTGCATCATGCAGCGCAAAGTTTTGATTTTGGGATTTATTTTGAGGTAATAAATTTATGTATTATTTATACCTTTAATTTCGATCTGGTATAGCAATAAATGAAGTTTAACATTTCAATATATTCAGTGTAATATTCCATTCATCAATGTTTCAGTCTTCCTGATAATCATCAGGAAGGTGCACCCAAAAGTGTTTCCTTAGAAAACTCATACCTTTCTTAAAATTTGAATCTGAATAAATTATTTCCAAGTTATTCGTAACAATTTATTAACGATACTTGGAGAGAGTTATAGTTTTTCCAAGTTTTGTTGGGTAATTAGCTAATGTGTAGCTACTAAAAACACTAAATTCAGCGGCTCTTGATGTTTCATCGTTTAGTTTTAGTATCTAGACTACATTCTCTACTAGAAGGTTTTGCTAATATTACCTTAATCGGAAATCCGAAAAGCAATAATTAGTAATAACTACATGAAAGTAAGGTTAAATTTTCCGATCCAAAAGTATTAATACACTGCTTAAACAGTATTTATTCTAATACAAAGGTTATCCAACCTCAGTTAGTAATAGCTAATTTTAGAATGGTGACTATTCAAAGAATAATTGTGTAGTAATTTTTGAAAAGTGATTTCTAATAAAATTTTCCGAGCATCTCTAGCCTTATGATTAGTGTATGTGTTCTCTTTAGTACCATTTAGTTAAAAAAAAATTTATTGACAAACTTTTTAACCGGTTTTTGTTTTGTGCTTTATGAAAATATCTTTGCTCTGGTTTCCAAAGGTTGTTGCGCTTTGGGAATACAAAACATTGATCCATTTATTTTTTGAATTCCTCCAGTAGTTTTTTAACATTGATTAATGATGTTGTTTATTGCTCAGTTATGTGAGAGGACATACGTCCAATGTTATTGTTAACAATATTTGTAGAATGTCGACGAACATCTCATGTGTATTCTCATATTTAGTGAACATATTTTTCTTAACTATTTCAATGAGGAAATCAGCATTACTGAGAGAAGTCTCACACTAGGACGAAACGGCCGTCCAATGCTCTCACGTTTTCAATGGTGATCTAACATTGATCAGTTCATGATCTCAATTAAAACTCAACAATCCCCACAAACCTATTGTGATATATTTTGCTTCTCAGAAAAACCATGCTGAGTTTACTATCTTAGTAAAAAATAATAATAGCAAAAATAATTACAATGATAGTATCAATGTGACGTTATGACTTCAGCTTGATTGTAAAGTCACTTTTTCAATAACACTTCATAATTTCACGTTGTAGATATTTAAGATTTCAATTAATCGATATCTTTTGCCATATGTCCATTTTGAGCGGATAATGAAATCTAATCGCTAAATAGATCCATTACTGTGCTAGATTTACACACTAAATATACTGAGAACTAAACAAACAAGAACTTTGTGTGGGATTTCATTTGATTTGGCTCATTTTTGTTTCCCAATTATTTATTCATTCTCTTTTTTGTGTTTTTTTTGTCTCTCTTCTTTTTGATATTTTATTTTTGTGGAATAGGCTAATGGACATGGAACTGTATTATTTTCCAAACATATTTTAAATTTTGCAAAAAATCTAAATGTGAACAATCCACTTCGTACATTTATTGATTTAACTAACACTTCAATTGGTGATGCTATAACTGATATTCTCTTGGTGGAATATACATTAGCTTGGTTAAATTGGTCATTTATTAATTGGTTTTCAATGTATGATGATTTACCATCGAAACAATTAAAAGTTACTGTAGCTAAACGTGATCTTATACAAGTTACATGGGATGAAAGACGTGTAACAAGTCCAATTGAACTACAAGTAAATCTAACAATTTTATTGTCAAGGTCTAGTTTACTTACATTGATTAGTTCTTTTAAGTAATAGGAATGTTTCCATAGTAATCTCTCTCTCTCTCTCCTTATATATATGGAGTGATAGTTGAACGATTGAGTTTCTATTTTATAGATGTGTTCATGTTCATTCGATGCTTTGGGACTTTATTTCTCGCTTTATATTTATGTCAGTTGTTTATGTAAAATATTTCCCAATTATCTGTTCACCTACCTAGTTAATCATAATCTGTAAATTACTAATATACTGAATTCCCTACTCTACAATTGTATACAAGTGTTCAAACAATGATCGTTAGCGCTTATTCAATACTGATCGTAATAATAAAAATTTTAAAGCTTCTTCAAGTTCTATTAAATCCGACTGTTTGTTAGATTCTTAGTCTGGAATACTGCACAGGTACACAAGCTGAAGCAGAGTGCAATACAGAGTTACAACTATGTTCAACCATGCTGTAAACTTCCAGTGCTATTTATTTCTAATGAACTAAATGTTTAACAATTAAATGTGCTAATTAGAGATTTACACTGAATCATTATTGCGAAGAGTTTGGATTATCCCTTCGTTAGTATTGTCGATTAAATTTTAATCGATCTTTGTCGAGATATATACGTCCTGCGTAGATTGTCTCGATGCGTCCATTTTATTACAAGTTATACAGCATAGAAGTATTGTGTATAGATCAGTGTAGTCTAGGTCGTGTGCTTCGTCTTATTTAGGACTCATTAGCTGGATATACTTGCACTCTTGTTCACTGATATCATTACTAGGAATGGTTTAGATAGAATATTCAGAAAAACAATTTTTTAAATGAATATTTTTTTATTAACGTCATCTTCAACTTGTGCAAATATCAATTCATAAGTTTTGTGTCACTATGAGTATCTTAAATGGACAAGAATACGAATGTAAAGTCATTTTTCAGTCAAATATTCTTGATGTTTAGAAACGTGACACATAAGATGCTAATCACGAGACTAAAACCTATAAACCTATTACCATACTACTGTTGCTACTACAATGATCTATTACTACAACTCGTCTGGTTACATTAATCAAATGAATTAAGTTTCACATTTAATCTTACATATCTAGGTTAAATAATTTTATCATTTGTCCGTTAAAGTTATAAAATGTCATCCTATGGATCTGTGTAACATATGTTTGGAAATCTTTTTATAGTAAATTTCAAGTATATATAAATACATACGTGCCAGGCAGAGTAAATGAGGAATGTACATGCGATATAAACACTCAAAGTAGTTAATGTTAAATCAGAGGTAGACTCACTTAGTTATCCTATTTATTTAAGTAAGTTCTGAGATATTTTTATAAACTGCTATCAAGCCTAGATCTCTCATCATTTGAATAAGCATCGAATCTTATTTTCATAGATTACTATAGAACAGTTCACGTATATACGATGTATGCTACTTATGTTGACAGATATACATAGTATGTTGCATCAATCGGAAGTGGAATGCCTGCCAACTGAAGATTGAGAAAATTGAATTGGAGAGAACAGGAAGGGAAACAGAGAGCAATTGTAATAACATGATTAAAATAGCCGTGAAGCATGTAAAGGACAACTGAAATAATATGCGCAAATAATGTATTTAATGTATGATTTCCATATTTTGCATTAAACTATGAATAGGTTTCCTCCAACTGAGTGTTCATTCACCACACATATAAAATACAGAAAACTTATTGACCTGCTTATCTACCAATAATATATCTTTCTTAGATTGACTTGTAGTGACTAATATAGAAAAGTAACTTGTGGTAATGATTTGTAAGAGTTCGAACCAATCATCATCATCGAAATTTTCTTTGGATTAACTAAAAAGCTGTGTACAAATTACAAATTGCTATGTCAGGATAAATATTAAACAAAAGTGAATTTTGAAACAGTCCTACATGAAGTTGCTGCTTATAATTTTGTTGTATAATTATTAATTAATTGAACTATTATGTTTTTCTCATCCCGCTACTTTCAAGCCTTTGTTTGACATAAATCATAGTTGTGTGTTTCACCTTTCTGAAATTATTTCTAGTGTATGACAGACCTATCACTCAGTTTTTTTCAACTCGTAAAGTGGTTGTTCCCATATCGTAATTTCTTAATTCGATTGATGTGTGATCAGGATTTTACTTTGTATTATTGTATAAGTGATTCATAAATTCGGACTGTATAATTAGATTTTATCTGCTTTTTGGGTTGTTCTCTATTCTGACAATCGGGTGGTCGAGTCATTTAGTGATAATCAGTGTATAGAATGGTATATTTGTACACAATTCGACATAACATAACCGCATGAATGTACAAACATAGATAATGTAGAACTAATATAAAATATAAATTAATATTCAATTAGATTTAGTCTTTTGATAATGTATGTATATATCAGAACTGTTTAAAATGTGTCAGCATAACCCTGACATATATTAGTTGATTTTATTCCAACAGTTAGTGAAAAATCATTCTTTCTTCAATGGAATTTATAAGCAGTAGTAATGATAGCACTGGCTAATTATCGTTTAACATTTCAAAGCTCAAACAGTCAACTAATATTATAAACTGATGTTTATTAACAATTGTAACTTCTATTTATCACTGGGGAAAAACTATTTTTAAGCTCAACGAAATTTAGGTTTCTGTAATGATTAGTGATTAGTAAGCTATTTATCAGAATAAATTTCTGGAATCTACTTTCTCTAATATTATACCTAAATCGTGAAACGTAACATAAATGTAAAAGGATAATTTCTCATTGAAGTTTTGCTAAAACTTACATCTTCGTAATAAGGGTTTTAAGTGTCATCTAGTCTCAATAATTCTTGTATATTATGGTCTGTTCAGTCTTAATACTACTGTTGATGATAATAATTTTATCATTTACTCTTTGATTTCTAATATATATGTGTTTTACAATCCCAAGATTGCTATCGATGAAGCTGTTCAACAAGCTGATAAATTAGTTGATAAAATTGGTATATCACGTGCATTTGTTCGTCCTTCAGGCACAGAAGACACTGTACGTATTTATGCTGAATCGTATACACATGAAGCAACTGATTGGTTATCCGCAACAATCGCTTTAATAACTTATAGATTAGCCGGTGGAATAGGTCCTCAGCCTACACCTCCTAAACCTCTTCATTCCATTTGTAATTGATTCATCAACTATTTTTAATCGTAATTACTGTGAATTAATGTGCTGATCGGTGCTCTTTCTTTCCTCCTTTTGTTCTGTCTTGATTTATTTATTCATATTTAGTTATTTTGATGTATTTTGTTATTACTTGTAATCTTGTGAAATTATAACTTTCGTCTCTTTACTGTTTTTTTTTCCTATGTTCTCCTCTCGATTATATCTGATGGTAATTATTAAGTAGTTAATTTATATAATGTTATTTCATGAAATAATGTGTATTACAATGTGATATAGAATATTTACAATAAATTAATTTCATACAGAACAAATGTTATTAATAATAATGTCTTATTTTTAATTTTGTTTTAGAAAGAGAAGACTATGTTTTAGATGGTTGGAGGTAGTTGACAGGAAACTCTAGATCTAGGTCTCATACTATTTGACACTCGTCAATGGGTTATACTCATAGTTATGAAAGAAGTGCTCACAACAGATTTTGTCCCATGTCATGTAGCTCCACAGTTAGAGACGCTACCATTAAGCTGCCCAGGTCACGACTGACCTGTAGGATTATAATATTTACAACTGATTTAGCAATAAGTAGTGACCAATGTAATATTTATCTAGTTCCTTATAATCCTGACCGGTTCCTGCTATTCAAGTTGCAACTTGACAAACATGATATTCGTTACCGCTCAGTTGTCAATCAATTATATGAGACTGTGTGTTTGTGAAAATTTAATTAATAATAGTGATTGCTTCAATTTTCTGAGTTCTAAGTTCTTTACGTATTGACTCAACTTTATCAGTGGAAAATCTTTGTTCATATCATTGTTCTTTTCGCAATCATATTTTTCTGTTATTTTAGGGAACATGATTAAAAATATTGTTTGCTTGTGATCTATTCGGTAAATTATATATATATATATATATATATATATATATATATATATCACGGGTTGTGTTCTTCGCGAATTAATCCCAGCTGGGGTAACATTGAAAAATAGGGAGCACTGGACAGCTATATCCCACTGTGAAACTCCTTAGAATTGCCCACCCGCTTTCCTGTACATGGATAAATATGTGTATATTACGACGGTTGCAATCTCCCTAATTTTCTCACCATGGATGGATTTGGAAACTAGGTTGATAGTAATGGTCCTAGAGACCTGAGAGTATGATCACGGAACTCCAAGAACAACTAATTGAGTTAGGTCTCACATAGTGTTTTGGATGCGATCGCGCTTGAATGATATATATATATATATATATATATATATATATATATATATATATATATATATATATATATATATATATATATATATATGAAGTCTTTATAAATGATTGCTTTGTTGAATAAATGATTTTGTAAATTATAAAATTTTAATGTAGTGACTAATTGTGAGTTGCTAAAGTTTTGTATTTTAAGATTTTCAAGATTGACAATCCAGTTATTGTACTTTATGTTTATGAAGGTGAAATTAAAGAAATACCACCGTTGAGTCAATCACTATTTACATTTGAGCAACGTGTTACCATAATATAGTAACTGATAAATTGACATTTTAAAATGAATTATGCACAAATATTGTTGAGTTATTGTATGATATTTGATTATAAAAGATACAATAATATGTTATATTTAAATAATTTAATCAGTTGTGATGAATGTCTAAAAACTAATTAGTCGATTGGGTTTAAGATTGATCTTTCATGCACTAGTAATATTTCCTGTAATTTTAAAAACTACGTCAGACTGACTTAATGAAATTTTTCATTTATTTAGTAAATGTAAATTTTCATTTTGAATTATTTCCATTTCAGATAAAACATTTCAATGCACAATTTTTCCGAAATTTCTCCATTTTTACTCAAAATTCGATCATGTGTTTTTTTACCTCAATGTGGTGGACGTTATTTCCCTCCAGGAACACTTTATCGTCCACATCATGAACGTTTTGATGAGAATTGTGAACGTAAACCACTGCCTCATCCGGAAACTCCAAGGTTTCAAGGTATTGATAAACTCATATATCTGTATTATGATTCAATTTTATTTAGTCTCCGTTGTTAACTGATCTTCTATAGTACTAATGATTAATATGGAAATAACTAGGTCTTACTAAATCAGTCAACTGATGGAGGTGGAAATAGGTAGTAACATGTAATGTTTGCTGTTCTTTTTTAACTCACGAGTTATGTTACGGTTATTTAGAGTACTGGGGTTAAGTACGGGCCTACATTAATTGCTAATTGAAGAACGATTGAGCTTATTCTGATACGAATAGTTTCTATTACGGATTCGATAGATCAGGAGTTGGTGAACAACACCTCATTAATATTCCATTGTTATATATGAATATAAGAATACCAACGCGAATGCAAGGAAACTTGATATGTAGGCAGATAAATCGAAATAATACAAATCCGTCTATATAGTAGCGAAATCATGACTTTAAACTACACAGAAGATTAGCAAACTATAAGTAGTGACAATCAATCAGAAAAGGCCAAAGGTCACGTGAAAATTTCTACCAAAAAAATACTAGCGGTCGTGGTTACCAGTAAGAATTTAACATTAAAGAAAGTTGGATAACCCCGTGATCTCCTTGGACAATCATAATCAAGAAAGGGCTTGGCACACGTGTGGATCGGCTCAATCTGCCACATCCTATTCTCACGTCGAGATGAAATTACCAAGTTTGGTATTAAAATGTTCGAAGTATCACTGATAACATAAACGATTAGAAATGGAGAATATGATTCGAGAAAGACCATTTCACAGAATAAAAGGTATAAAATAATTTTGAAACTCAAGATCTGAAGGAAAATGAAGAGTGAATGCATCTGCGCCATTGTGACCAATATCGAGCGACATCGCACAATATCTCCAACTACTAAATAGTACTATTTAAACTTGGATTAATTTTAATTTGGTTATTTATTTTCTGAAGAAGTGACTTACACCAAGTCACGAAACGTCAGAAAATTTAATTTTTCTACTCATTGGGATATTACCCAATGCTCAATTTATTCAAAATTATCAAATCAAACCTTGGTAATGATACCTACAATCTCCAAGTACTGACTAGGGGAATCGCGTGGACCCCAGTCAATCTACATCTACCGATATGACTGAGACTAGCAGTCAGTGACTTGTGGCACTGTGTTGATTTCATTAGTGACAACGATTAATGATGGTGCTAATGAAATATCGATTTTTATTTACTTCATATACATTCCATCGGTTATCATTGTTGAGAACGACGGGAAATGAAAAGTCCAATACAAAAGTACTTTGGGTGCATATATTTCTTTTACCATTGACGTCTCACGGTTGTGCAGCAGGAAAAATATTCTGCTGTTCTTATAGCCGATTGATCACTGAGTGGTGACCGATGTCATGTATATTAAATTCACATTACAACTTGATCTCTAGAATTCAACCAGCAACAAGAAGAACTCGGCAAACACGACATTTATCAGTACTTATTAGTCAGAAAATTGTAAATACACCCCAGTCCTACAACAGATCAGTCATCACCCTAATAGCTCAGTGGTATCGTCTGTGACTATGATGCTGAGTGACAGGACATCGAATAAGCGAGGAAGTATCAGTGTCTTCGAAATTACGAGTAGATCTTACTGATAAGTGTCAAATGATACGAAACCTCAGTCCAGGGTTTCCTTTCAAACCGTCTTCAACAACCTCCCAACAATTCTGTACAATACATTACTTAAATCATTTATTTTTTCTGTGTCACAACTAGCACTAACTAGGTGAATCTTCTGCATACTTAGTGGACTTCATTAGTAATTAGGTCATTACATTTATCAAGTTGATGAATGAGTTAATTTTTTGGACTATTTTGTTCTGTTGAATTCTTGAAACACTATATATTAACTACGGTCGGCTTAAATCAACCATTCTCATTTTGTCATTAATCGTCTTTTTTCTCCAAACAACTCATTCTATCGACATTTCTTCATTTAAAACCACATATAACCGAATTTGTAACAGTTTTGTATTAGTTCAAGTAGCATCACTTCACAGATCAACTGACAGATAACGAAATAAATGCGAAGATAATAGTCACAAAGAGTTAAAAAAGAAAATAGTGGAAATTCATAAAGACAGCGAATATAATGGATAAAATGTACATTAATTATATTAAAAGGACAGTTGGATAGATTTGTATCATTTTTATGCGTAATACCTTGCCAGATTAGTGCTAACTGTATATTTTTATAACTATCAATGTCAATTATTTGATTGATGACATCAAAGGAGTTGATTAATTTGAGAAAGAAAATTGTACCATCAATTTAATTAGACATTTTTAGCTAAAAGCCATATATATATATATATATATATATATATATATATATATATATATGAATTATCACTACGCATTAAATATAATAGTCCATACGATTACTCATATTGGGTTTTTTTACTGGGGTGGACATTTTTTTAATCTTGATATGCATTTAGTTTTTATGACAGAGAATCAGATTTGCCGTAAACTTTAAATGGTATTTTAGGACAAATATCAAGCATAAGTCTTACTATTATGGCTTTTTAGCATTGTTTCGTTAAACAAACACATTATTCTCTACGGATTATTGTTCTCATACAAATAAGAATAACATTCTATGGATTTTGTAATAAGTAACCTACCTATTTACATCTGTTATAATCTCTGTGTAGAATAATTATCCATCTAAATGACATACTATAACTCCTGTTTTTTACATGCTTAATTCATTTGTAAATGTCTTTCATTTTCAAAGTTTATTTTTAAATCAACATTTATTTTCATTTATAATACTTTGATAGTTCATCAAAACCATAGTCCTAACATAAGGACAGCTGAATGGATATGTAACATAGAAACATACTGATCATTACTCAACTTAAAATTTACATTTATATGCACAGAAATTCCATTAATTATTATCCATAATCAGATAGGGGTTTTGTGGATATTATAGTAATTTAATAGTTGAATTCATGAGTCACTTGAAGCTAGACCACCAAGAGGTATTTCCTGGAGTTCTAGTGAGAAGCCGTGACCAGTAGAGTTCAACTAGGTCTGTTGTGAAATAGTAACTCACTGAAGACAATGGTGGACGGTGGCGCAACTTCAAAGATTGGTTGAAGTTAGACATTAACGCTGTTGGATGCCGGTTAAGCACTCGCGCACAAGGTCGATAGGTCTTGGTTTCGAATCTCGCGAGTCCCATGTTAGGACAAAACGGCCGTCCAGTGCTTCCAGGCTTCCCATGGTGGTCTAGCTTCAATTGACTCATGACTCAAGATATACTCTACTTATTATTAGCACATATTTCATTTCGGTTACAATATGCTATCTAATAAATTTCTAGCTTTTATATACTCAAATGAATCTTAACAAGTTTTACACCAATTTTGTTGACGGTAATTTCAATGAAAATTTATCAATGAAATAAAACTGCGATTGTTAATTGAATTAAAATGTCAGGAAATTTAATCTGTTTATCATGCTTTAAAATGTAAATTTGTTATTCTTTTACCACCAAAATATTCAATAATCCTTTCGTAACATTTTTCTGCATAGAAATTCCTGTAACAGATCCTAGAAGTAAGGCGAAAATTGCCGGTAAAAGACCAATTCATGTAATTTGTGAACCTAACCAAGTTTATTGGTGGTGTTCTTGTGGTCATAGTAAACGTCAACCATTCTGTGATGGACATCATATTCGGATTTTAGGCTCAAATCCAACCTTTAAAATCAATAAGCGAGAATTCAAACCCATTCGTTTAGTTTATGAACAGTAAGTTCATCCTCTTTTTTTTACTACTTTTATGACTAACCCACTTCAACGTTAATGCTCTCCTTTTTCATGCTAAAAAATAATCGATGTCACTTGCATCAGCTGTAACTCTCGAGTACAATATATCAATTGTTAAGTTACTTTGACCACTTTTATATTGAGAATATTTAGCACTGAAAGATAAAGAGGGAGGTGAATTAACTAAGTTTGTCTCGAATGTTGTTAAGGATGTGTAGGCTGTTGTCACTCCCCGGTTACTCACACCGTAGAATGATATTTATTGTGGTACCTTAAAAGGAAATTAGATTATTAGTAGAGTGACCCGGAAGAATGACCGCAGAGTCCAAAGAACAGTTACTTGAGGCTGGTCACATAGGTCATTTTGCAAGTATTTCTTGTTGTGTTAGCTTTGTTCTTTAAAGGGACTACCAATGGCTACGGAAATTCTCGGAGTAAGGCGAGGTGTGCTATTTTTAATCCCTACATTGTCTTACTCATCCTCCCGTTGTGGATAGACCGGATCGCTGCTAACGTTGGTTGACAGAGAGCAACACCTTGCTACCATCATATCAGTACGGTCAATAGCACAACTTCACCCAACTACTGGTTACGATAATCGCGCGGACCCCAACCAAGTAGTATAAATTTACCAACATGGTTCAGACCAGAAGTTAGTGACTTTATGAACTGATGCCACGTTTTGGTTTAGCTGCCCCCTAACTTTCTTCCATCCGTCTCCAACACTAGTTAACATTGCACGTCGCGGTAATTGGTAGTTAGGCAAGCGTAATACATGGCCCAACCATCTCAGTCTATGAAGATTCACAACCTCATCAACTGATCTACCATCATTCTCTAGTACCCTGCATCTAGTCACACTGTTACTCACCTGGTGATCTCAGCAGATGTGATTAATATGTCTAAGACATCTGTGATCAAACACTAGAAACTTACGAGTATCTTCCACTCTTAATGGCCACGTTTCGCAGCCGTAAAATGGAACAGAACGAACTACTGCGCAGTATACTCTTCGCTTAGTTGATAGACGAATATCTCGCCTTCGCCATAGGTGACGTAAGTTGGCAAAAGCCAAACGAGCTTTTCGAATCCATGCAGAGATTTCGTCAGACACTAACCCACTAAGGCTGATCAGACTTTTAATATAAGTGAAGTTGTCGATGCGTTCAACTACTAATGTTTTGTTGAAATCTATGGTTTAGTGAATATTCTACTGCTCAAAACTTCTTACCACTAGAATAACCCTTTTTTAAAACTAACAAGAATCAAGGCATTTTTTTCTTTACTAGAAATGGTAACAGCTCAATTTATCTATATGTGTAAATATTTACAAGTTATTAGAAAAATTACCGTATGCTTAGAAATGATTTATTCATGAATCAGCGGATTTAGATAAGCATAGTCGTTTTATTTACTACAATGTCTATCCTTCCTTATAATGAATCAGCATGAAATCCATACTCATTATGTAGATGTCAGTATATTATAATTAAGCAATAATTATCCGTTGCAGTAGGTTGAAAAAACAAAGAATATTGTTGTAACATTAGTCAATAAAGTTCGAAGTTTAGAATACTGAGAAATTTAGTCTATTAACATATATAAGTAGATGTTTTCAATTACATCTTCTGTCATAAATCTTTTTTGCCGCGTAGTACAAATACTAATTCTCTAAGTAAAGTATAGTTTGACATCTGTATTTAGCTCTAAGTTGCATAAGTTTGTATGTAGATGACTGATTAGTGACTGATGTAATAAAACTATCAAATGGTTTCCAAGGCTAACAAATATTTTTCGCAAACATTAATTGATTCCAATTTTACTATTAAACCTTTTGGCTACTTGCATAATCTTAGATAACAGAAATTTTAATTCATTTTTGTATTGGTTGTTTTAATCTTCTCATTGATGTTTAGCACTGCAATTGATCAATTTCTTATTGGCATATGTTCATCCTGTGCCTTCAGTCACAAACATCATCTCTTCTTATAATAAAAAAAATTGTCTCATAAGTGTTGTACACTTATAAATAAATTTATAAAATTGGAATATCTCTTTGAATAAAGTACACCAATCTTATGCTTAAGAGAATTTTTTAATGGAGCAAGGATCCTTAATTAACCTAGAACATAACGATATTGTTAGCTAGCACTAATTTTTATCACTAACATCACTGACATGCCTGCTGCATGATTTCCCCTTTTCATGTATTTGAAGTTTGGACTGAAATAATTTCTTTAAAAAATCAGAAATACTTAGTCAATAATGATGTCTTTTAATCAAATCGTAGTAAAATGTCATTGATATATATATCGTTCCTCTCTTTTAATTTTAGACCATCTGAAGTATGGTTTTGTACATGTAAACAGACATCAGAACCACCCTATTGTGATGGAAGCCATAATTGTGAAGAAGTACAGTCTAAAACTAAACACTAATTATTATACTTTTTTTCTATAAAGTTAGCGATTGTATAAAAAATCACTTGTATACACCTTTGTGTAATATAATCTTATGAGTATAATATATAAAATTTGGTATAGTCGTATTGACTATGTATGTTTTGTTTATTGTATCATCAACTCGCCTGTCAATTTATTCTATCACCTTAAATAGTCTATATTGACCGTATCCTTAAAACACCAATCAATATATCTTGTGACTGAAACTTAAATGGGTGTTTTTTGTATGTATTAGTCTAAAAAGCGTTCATTCGATCCATCAAGTTGAATTGTGAACATTAGATGGAGTAACGTAACATCCCAGTACACTGTGTTTGATGTTACTTGGCTGGAGATAATCAATATAGTAATCCATTAATCCAGGTGTCATGATATTAGTTACTCATCAGTAATGTGGATATGTATCTCAAGGGGACTGGTGCTCTCTATAAAGTTAAATGATGATTCATCCGACCGGACAGATATATTGTAGTGAACGAGAACACAAGTTGGGACAATCGAATGTATTTCAATACAAAATTACATAACACCATAGTAAAATCTTAGAACCATACAGTAAATACTTCATCTGCAAAATGTCAATAAATTGTCTCAAACTTGACTGTTCCTTCTGCAAAATGTCAATTAATCGTTTGAGACTTCATTGTTCTTTCGTTTCCACACCAATCATTCTTCGTTCTCGTTCTCTTTGCTTCGATCCTTTTAACCTTCTGCCGCTAGACATTTCACTTTCGATTGATGATACATACTATTTATATCTGTCGACATCAGTAGCACACACCACAATATGACCAATGAGCTGTTTTAACGACGGTCTCCAATTTCAAGGTTAGAAAACTTTTCTTCGGGATTGCAGATACGTATATTAGGGACGAGTACCTAATGTATTTTCATGGCTTCTATTGCTGATCCTCTTCATGCTTGGTAGCACAATATTGTTAATATTAGTTTAAATTATCGCGTAGATCTCGCCTTATAATCTGGATACGAAATTCTGTGCCAACTTTTACACATTAAGGAATTTTTTCAGTTTTGAGTGTTATAGAGATAAAACTGAATCAATCACAAATAAAATAACTAAAGAAATGATGGGTTACTAAAGAAATCTCATATATGCTACTCTGTTTCTAGGTTTCTATGCAGTTAATTCTTATGACATCACTCTGGTGATGATCGAGTTTGATTTAAAATTCTCTAGTTGCTTTCTTCAATTTTTGTCCGATAGTGTAATAGAACTTTTTTTGTCTCCAAGTGCACAATATGTTTTTGTTTTTGTCTGTGCTATAGACTATGGTTTACAGGCACGGCAAATATATCAAACAAGTATTCATCATGTTAAAAATTCATTTGATTAAAGTTGGATTTTATTGAATAAACCCTCAGTTTAATCAACTGAAATATTTACTCATATTGATTTTCCCAAAATGATTTCTACTAAGTCCCGGTGAAGCACAGTTTTTTCAAGTATGTGATAAATAATTAATAACACTAATAATTACAAACTCACATAGAGACACAGCATCTGAAGTACAACCAAGAAATGAACCTGAATACTTTTATGTAAATTCATTCAGAAAATGATATACTCGTAAGCCCATCATAATAACTACAAAGTGCACGATCAGTAAACCTATACTGAACAGATGAGTTGATCAGCCGTGCTACTTCAAAATCAAAATAGATAAACCATGATCGATTTTTACTGCTGGGCGAATCATGACTGGTTGCAATAAATTCACCGTAATCAAGTATTATCAGGAAGTTTAACTGTTTAGAAAGACGATACTATGTTTTTATGAGCATAACTTTACAGATAAAGCTTGTTAGGCAAACCATATGAAATCGTTTCGGTGAAATTAATGTTGATGTAATAAGTCATTCGAGTCTAATAGTGAGGTCAATAATAATATAACAAAGAAAGGAACGGAAATACAGAATGCGTTTATTTATTTAACTTGTAGGTTTTAGGAATATAAGGCAGAACTCTTCAAAATAGGTCATAATTAAAATATATTTAGATTTGATTATGTGAAATGTTCACCAAATCTCTAATTTTCGTTTCTCATGGTCATCTGTTTTCAAATTCACTAAGAACTGGCCATGTCATTTTAACATTCGTTTGGGGTCGTCATTATGTCGTAAGATGTACAAGAGGAAAAACGTACGCAACTGGTTAATTAGAGTTGACAGTGATAAAATCTGCATAGCAATCTGAAAATAAAATTCTAGCGTTTTTTGTCTTGAGGAAATAAGGAATATTTAAGCAAACAATTGTTCTCAATAACTTCATCTACAGTTGTTAACCCGTAATTATTATTTTACGATGATGATATGACAGAATAAGATGACACTAATTAGGTCAGCATTTTTTTATTGGTTTGTTATGAAATTCGGCAAGGGTGATAGGTGCTAACGTCGTTCAGTGTGACTATTGTATACCCTGTATTCATTCAGGTGAACTGTGTTCAGTGTTTTTTACAGTAATCCTATGTATTTCCATTTATGTGTGCTAATATAAAATCTAATACATAAATGATTATATTGTGACCTAAGAATTATATAATTTACAGGGAGTCTATAAGTCTTCGTTGAACCAGTTTTTCGTGTTCTCACTTTGGGTACTGGTAATTTTAATGATTCTCGGCTTCAAAGTATAATCAGTAGAATCGAGGCATTTCAGTGATTCCCGATTGTCAAGTAAAAGCAGTTAAATTGCGGGCCCAATAGAGTCCATTCGGACATAACAGTGACGGCTTCCCAACTATACAACTAGTGCTCCGGATATAACACAGTTGACTATCCAGTTAAAAAATATAGCATATATAAATCGGTGAATGACAGTTATCTGTTAAGATGGGGGACCTTCGCATCAGTTACGGCTTAGATATATTGAAAATATGTAATTTGAAAATCCATTTAATAAAGAGGTAGGAAAATTCATTGTACAACCAATTTAATAAAGTACATTCTGTGAGCAGGATGCATAATTGGAGAAATATTATATCGGGTTATTCGAGGTTATAATAATATAGTATAGTATAATATCTAACAGGATGTCTTCAGGATAAATATAAAATAATAAGAAACTGGTGTGGAGTGCTAAAGATAAATGCAAGATTTAAAAATGGAACAGGAGAGAAGTAGACACAAAAGGATATTCAGAGTAGGAGGTGGCTTACGTACTAATCGATAGTAAAATGGTTAGTGAAACTATTGAAACCATAACTCCGAAACTTGGTCAAGTGTAGTTAGACTAAATGGAAGAAATTGTGGAATAACCATTAAAAACGTCAACAGTATTGGATAATATCAATTTTACCAAAGAGATCGAGTCCATCGACCATAAATTGCCATTTTTTGGCGATTTGACTTAAAGGAAATAATGGTTCTTTAGAAACAAATATATTTTAAAACACATCCTGGGAAATATTCAGATTACAATTCAGCAAATGCCCTTTATGAAAACATCACAGCTGCTAAGATTATGGTAAACAAAACTTGGCAACTCGTCATAGAATCTAATGGCGGGATCTGAAATGGATTTGGTTATGTCCACTTTGATGAATAATTATCCTAGGGTCTGTTAAAAGTATAATTTGGAAAGTTAAAAAGATAAGATGAAAGAAAAACCAAAAGAATTAGTTGACATTATAGTAATTCCATATTTCAAATAAACTCCAAAAGGATCTTGAACCAACACAATATAAAATTATTTTTATAAACGAACCATACTCCTAACTCTAAACCAGTAGGAGTCAAAAACAAAAGAAAAATAACAGAATTATGTATGGGAAATTAAATATGTTGTTCATATGAGTTAGACCTCACATTAGTTGAATGTGATGGTGAAAGAACATAAACTTTGCTTAAAGTGCGCTCCTAAATCCTTAGAAAGCCATTCGGGAATAGCAGTGTATTCAGTAGTGTCTGAACAATCAACTGACTTCAATGGTACAAGTTTCCTTCCAAATGGTCTTGTTTCGTACAAAGAAAGATTGACAACTGAGGTCCCACAGATATAGGTAAACGCAAACAATATATATAGGAGAGATGGAATACAAGTGTCTGCACCATAATGACTAACAATTAATTAATATATCGGGATTTCATCTTACATTTTACTTCTATGAATTTATCGTCTATTAACTAGATGGCAATGTTATAATTTTTTTCTAATTAGTTAACTTGTCTGAATATACGTTGAACAACTAGCATGTTTCATACAACAATACAAGTCTACAGTAAAAGCTTATTTGTTTATTTATCTTTATTTTATGTATTCTGTGACATGTTTGATTGATAACATCTATCAGATTATTTAGTTAAGTCAACAACCCGAATCTGAGGCAACATATGGTAAAATCAGATCTAAATACAAATAGGGTTAGGGGGTTTTAAAAAAAATAAATTTCATATCCCAAGAAACTATTCTCGTTCAAAGCATATTACTCCAAGAATATCATTTAATGCACTGTGATCTCGGAAATGTTTTTAATAAAAAATTTTCATCCCGTTTTGTCCGATTAGTTTTAAAATGGTAATAGTTAGTTATTTATTTCTGAAAATTGATATAATAAGTGGAAAAATTAGAAGCCACATATTAGTCGCAGAACACCTAGCGGATCCTTACAACCGATTAGACGAATGAGATAGTTTGAATAGTGTTATTATATATTTCGTGAAGAAGTACAATGAACACTCAATGTTCGACCCTCATCTATTGTAAGTTCTATTTATAATTTCACTCATAAATTGGGGTTACGGAACCATGCATCCAACACCGTTGACGTTATCATCAGCACCTAATTTTTAGATGGAAGCCTCCGCTTTCATGGATGTAGCAATACAATTAGTCCGAACAATCGAGGATTTGGATGCCACATTAAGTAATTAATAAGACGATATTGTTTCAATAAACTCAAAATTAAATGACAGAGACAATAACACGGACTAAGATGCCCACGATAAAAGACTGTTTGACATATGTAATCGTGCATGCAAAATTCAATGAGAATGTTCCAATATTTTTTTCACATTTCTCAGCTAGACGAATGTAGGCTTTTGTTTATTACATTGAAGTTAAATGTTGGTAA